TTTAGTTTATTATTATTATTTTTAAAACCTTTACCTGGGGATATTTATTCATTGATTTTTAGATAGAGAGGAAGGGAGGGAGAGAAGGAGAGAGAGAGAGAGAGAGAGAGAGAGAGAGAGAGAGAGAGAGATCAATGTGAGAGAGACACATCAATTGCTTGCCTCTTGCATGACCCCGACTGGGGCTAGGGATCGAACCTGCAACCCAGGCATGTACCCTTGACCAGGAATCAAACCCGTGACCCTTTGGTTTGCTGGCTGATACTCCAACCACTGAGCCAAACCAGCCACAATTATATATTTTAAAGGCAGAATTGACAACATTCACTGACAGATTGTATGTGGGGTGTTAAAAATAGAGGATTCAAGGATGACTTCAAAGTTTTTGTCTTGAGCAATGGGAGGATGACTTGCCATTTGGTGAGATGCAGAAGACCAAGGCATTTTAGGGGAGAAGAGCTTTGGTCATGTTGAGTTTAAGATGTCTATTAGACATCCAAGTACAAATTAAAAGGAGGAAGTTGGATATATGAGTCAAGAGTTCAAGAGAGGGTGATGGGAACACAAGGGTTTTATCTCAAACTTTAAGAATGCAACAAAAGGGGGTAGGCATTTGACAATGGCAAAAGTATGTAGATGCATTTTCTGCATCTCTGTCATGTTTTTTGAATACTGTTATAAGCTTTCTTCTCATCTTCTTTTGATGGAAGTCTCATAGATAGCAGGAACTAGCATTTACTGTGCATTTATTATGTGCCAGACATTTTGACGTATAGCATCCCATTTAAGCACGGCTATCTTACAAAGCACATATTGTCATCTCTGGTTTATAGATGAGAAAATTGAGCCTCTGCAAGACAAAAATTACTTGTCCTGAGTCACACAGCTGATAAGTGAATATGCTGGAATTCAAACCTGAATCCAAGTCCTAAGCCCATGTTCCTCCTGACTACCTATCTGCTTATCCCTAAGTGGGTCAGAGAGTTGTCTCAGTGATTTCTGTGTCAATGATTTGTTCTGTGGATTAACCAGAGCTGAGACGTTTTTAAAATCAGTTCCTGCCTAACTCCTTATCATACTCCACCAGAGGTTGTCAACTCACTTTGAATATTTATCATTCAGGTATTGTCAAGTGATATTATTTTAATTTTAGACCCAGACAAACAAAGTTAGGGAGGGAAACTTGATGCAACAGAAATCCAATGAATTACTACAAACCAAAGGTATTTGAATTTCTGGATTATTTACTTTCCAGAATTGTCCAAAACTCTAACACTAGCGCAAATAATTGCACAATTATCATGTGGCTCAATTTCCTTTATATCTTTGGATAATGTATTATACAGCTCTACACACATAAGTAGTACTGACAGGCATCCCTTGGCCCAGTTTTCCTTGTAGAATTCTAGTAGTCTAGGTTACAACAGCAGGTTTCATGCCCCATTCATTTGACAAAAATACCGGTGCCTACTATGTAGTAGGCGCTATGCTAGGTACTGGGACTGCCAAAATGGAAGGATGTGGATTTTACCACTGAGGAACTCACAGTTTGGTGGTGAGAAAGCTTGTGAAAAAATTAAAAAACACAATAATGTGGTAAGGGATATCATTTAGACATGTTCAGGATGCAAAGAAAGTATAAAGGAAAATCTGTTTGAAGTGAGTTGTGGGACCATAACAGAGGAAACATGAGATTAGATTCTTGAAGAATACATCAGGCTTTAAGGTGGGGGCATTCCTGGTCAAAAAACAAAAAACAGTTCGTGCAAAGACACAGACGTATAAGTGTCAACACATTTAGTATGTGCGTGTATAGGTTCCTTGTAGGTTCCTTGTCTCAAGGGGGCAGTTGGCTAGCTGACTGAAGCTGCATGGAAATGTGGATCTACTGTTAGCAGGTTTTCTGATTTTTTAATACGGAAGCAGGAAATCTGTTTTTTTTTTTAATGTAAAATTTTCTGATTTCTAAATGCTGGCAATTAATTTTTTTAACTCAAACACACATCTGTTTGCTGGATGTGACCTGGAGGCTGTCATTGTGAGACCTGTGCTGTAGGGGATGGGGTACTTATGGAAGTATAGAAGCTAACCGCAGCAACACTTTTATTTTATTTTTCTGTATTGATTTTTAGAGAGAAAGGGAGAGAGGAGAGAGAGACAGAAACATCGATGAAAGAGAACATCAATTGGCCGCCTCCTCCATGGTCCCCACTGGGGATTCAGCCCAAATCTGAGTATGTGTCCTGACCGGGAATTGAATCCATGACCTCTTGGTGCATGGGTCGATGCTCAACCACTGAGCCACACCAGCTGGGCTGAAGTAACACGTTAATTTATTTTTTAATATGTTTTTAATCCTCAACTGAGGATATATATTTTTTCTACTTATCTTCAGATAGAGTGGGAGGGAGGGAGGGAGAGAGAGAAAGAGAGAGGGAGAGAGAAACATCGATGTGAGAGGGACACATCAACTGGTTGCTTCCTGCAGAACCCTGACTAGGGTCAGGGTCTGCAACTGAGGTATATGCTCTTGACCGGAATCAAACCCGCGACTCTTTGGTTCGCAGACTGACGCTCTAACTGCTGAGCCAAAACAGCCAGGGTTGAAGTAACACTTTTAAAAATAACGTCATTGGCCCTGGCCGGTTTGGCTCAGCAGTTGGAGCGTCGGCCTGCGGTTCAGAGAGAGCCGGGTTCGGTTCCCGCTAAGGGCACGTACCTCGGTTGCAGTTTGTCCCCGGCCCTGGTTGGTTGTGCGGGTGGCAGCCCCTCGATGCGTCCCTTCACGTCGATGTTTCTCTCTCTCTCTCTTCCTCTCTCTCCCTCCCACTCTATCTGAACAAAAAATGGAAAAATGTCCTCGGGTGAGGATTAAAAAAATAAATAAATAAAATAAAAATAAAAATAACGTCATTGGATTGTACATTCCAACATTTCTACTGCACGTGTAGCCATGTGTTTTTCCTCTGGAGAACCAAGGTGAGGTCCCAGGTTAAATGCAACGTGTAGGACCTTCTGAGGGCAGTGGTGCAACCCAGTGTCTCATTCAAGCTGTTAAAAGCCTGGTAGAAAGGACATGGTAAGCTGAGTCCAGTAAGGCCCCTGGGCACCACTACCAGGAGATAACTCATTTATTCCCTTTCACTTTGGGGGTAGAAGGGGCAGCCTCTTTGAACTGTATTTGTGACTAAGTCAGCACAACCAGTAATGAAACAGATAAAAGACCATGTTACAGCTGTTAAGTTCAAACTACTCATTTTACAATTGGAAAAGCGAAGGTTCCCCAAAGCATAGCAACTTGCTCAGTGACCCAGCAAACCAGTGGCAGGGGCAGATCTACTGACTCCTAGTCTAACATTCTTTGTAATAGTCCTGAGCTGTGATAATTAAGGTAAACCAGCCTGGCAGTTCCCCTAGCATCTCAAATTCCTAGGCTGGACAAGCAGCATTTGAGATTAGCTGTTAAAGGCATTTTTTTACATTTTATTATCTGCACAATGATGGTATTCTTTGCAAACTTGATATTTCACGGGTAAGGGCCAATGAGGGGACACAAAGATGTTTCTAAAGCACCAAGACCATTCGAAGAGTGTCTGAAGTTGGCTGTGGCTGATGAATTTAAGGATTTTGACCTCTGAGCTCTCTAGACTGACCTCCCCACCATATGTTTTGTTTCCGTTCTGTTGTTTCTCTTCTTTTGTATTCCCCCTATGTTTCTTTTGTTCCTCCAGCCTAGGACTTAGGCCTACCCTCTTCAAGTCAATAAATGGTATTTATTCAAAGCATGAGAATGCGAGTGGCCAAGAAGCATCCATATTTTCTCTGCTATGGTCATTTAGCTGTCTATCATCTCAGACCAGTAACTCTTGTCAATGGCAACTGAACCAATACTTTCCATCCTTCATTTCGGGGTCTGCTGTTCTGACATTTGCTACTATTTTTTGGGGGGGAGGGCGTTCTGAAGCCTGTTCTGATTGGTGCAGCTGTTGAAGATGCTGCAGTCCCAGCAGTGTACATGTGGGACATTTGCCTGACTTGTTAAACCTTCCCCGGGGACTAGTCCATGGAGAGGAGGGAGGGGTGGAGAGGCCAGAACAGTTGCCTGCTAATTGAGATGCCTATATTGTCTGGCCATTCTGCAGACCACCCTTGTAAAACTTCACCTCATTCTGGCACTCAGTTTCCCCATTCGCTCATTGAAGACACATGTTCTCCATTCAAAACTCCTGCTGCAGTGGAAGAAGAGAAACTTCACTGGCTGCGGATTCTTCCTACAGCACTTTCTACCTAGTAAAGGGATCGATATATATTTGTTGAATTAATTAATATATCAAGAAAGCCTGGGGAACTGCCAGTTCCACCTGGCACAGGTGGACTTCTTCATCACTTTGATGGAGGCCCTGACTCACTCCAGGAGTGGGGTTGCCTCCATCCCACCCCATTCTCACTCCCTTTGGCTCCCTGGCTCCTGAGTCTCCTTTCCTTTTGGCGCGCTATTGGATTGCAAACACAGCAGGCATGGTTTCATTCCAAACCCAGAACTGTTTTAATTAGTTTAACGTCTGTTAAACGCTTTGAAGATTGAAAGCAACAGATAAGTACTGGATGGTGTTATTAGCAACTGCAGTTAATTGCAAACATTTCTATTAATACTAGTTTCTGCCTCCTTTTCCTTGCTCGACTTTTCCAAGGTTCCCAAATTCTTCTCAGCCTCCCCCTGCTCCCCTCCCCTTCTCCGTACTGGCGCTAAAGGGTTAAACCGGGGCGGAGTCCAGGGATGAACGACAGCAGCAATCACCAACTGGAACGGGGCAAGAGGGACTACCTGGGTGGGGCCATCAGGGAGAGGCGAACCCCCACGCCCCCAGGCTCCGCCCCGCGGCTGGGGGCCCGGGGTGGAACGCCAAGGGGCGGGGCGCTCAGGCTTGGCGAGCCCCGTGGTTGGACGCCTGGGCAGCCGCTGGAGGGATGGGGCGGGGTGGGCCCGGGCCTCCTCCCTCATTCCCTGGCGGGCCGAGCGCCCCTCTCTCCCGCCCCTCCTCCTCCTTTTCCCACCCCTCGCAGTGGAGCTGCACATGCGGCTTCTCCTTGCTCGGTCCCGCCCAGCCTCCGTCGCGGGAACGGGTCCCTGCAGCCCCCAGCCCATGGCAGGACAGTAGCCGCCTGTCAGGGGTCGTGAACGGCTGAGGCAGACGCGGCGGCTCCCGGGCCTCAGAGAGTGGGCGTCTCCAGAGGCCATGGGCTACCCCGAGGTAGAGCGCAGGGAGCCCCTGCCTGCGGCAGCGCCAAGGGAGCGGGGCAGCCAGGGCTGCGGCTGTCGCGGGGCCTCTGCCCGGGCGGGCGAAGGGAACAGCTGCCGGCTCTTCCTGGGCTTCTTTGGCCTCTCGCTGGCCCTCCACCTGCTGACATTGTGCTGCTACTTAGAGTTGCGCTCCGAGTTGCGGCGGGAACGGGGAGCGGAGTCCCGCCTTGGCGGCCCCGGCGCCCCTGGCACCTCTGGCACCCTGAGCGGCCCCGGTGGCCTCGACCCTGACGGTCCCATCACCCGCCACTTCGGGCAGCCGTCACTTCAGCAGCAGCCGCTAGAACCCGGAGAAACCACTGTCCCGCCAGACTCCCAGGACGGGCACCAGGTGAGTCACTTGGCTGGAGCGGCGGCGGCGCTCACCCACCGGGCCCGGGGGCGACTCTGCCACCTCGAGCCACGTTGGAGGGCAGGACCAGGGAGACAGCTGGCGAGTGGGAGAGAGGTGGCCCCGGGGCAGGTTGTCCCTGGTTCCCGGCCCAGCTCACCCAGACTCCCTCGGGACCCCTGGACTTGGGGGCTCCGGCCCGCGTCCGCCGCCCCCGGCTACAGGCTGTGTCAGGGAAAGTTGGCTGGGCTCCCAGCTGGGCCGCGGCGCCGAGGTGCGGGCGCTGCTCCTCTGGCGGACTAACGGCAGCAGCTTGGCCCTTCTGCTCCTGGTGAGATTCTCTGCCCGCGGTGCTTGTTTTTTCGTGTCCAGAGTTGATGCCAGCACTAGCAGGCTCTCATTTGGAGTTGGAGCTGTAAATAGCTGTAATAACTGCTTCACGGCCGTTGAAACAACTTTTAATCGGTTTTTCAGCGCGGATCCTTGTGCGCTGACCAGAACGTGGGCTTGTTTCCACTTACCTGCAATTTGAGACTGGTTGTCCTGGGTGTTGTAGTGAGGATCAGCGCCCCTGAGGAATTCTGGTAGAAATATGCCATCTTGCTAGACAACTTCTGAAGAGCAATTTTAAAAAATCTATGGAAATAAAACTCACCCTTTGCATGCCAGTTCGGACCTTTGGGGGGAGTGGGATGGAGTGGGTGGGTGTGAAGTGTCTTGCTGTTGCTAGCTGGAGAACAGGAATCTACTGATGGATTACTCAAGAGTTATCTCTCAGGAGCAGTTTTCTTTTCTTCTCTTCTCTTCTCTCTTTCTCTCTCTCTCTCTCTCTTGCAGTCTTTATGGTGTTTGCACTCTTGTTAGAAAATTATTAGCTTTGGTGTTTATTTTCTACTCTTTCCAGATCTTTATTGAAGTAAGTTTAGTGCACTTAAAATAAGTATCCTCTTGACTTCTGAATTTTGTCTTACGTGAAACTTAAGAGAAGCATCCAAAAATCCTTTGAGGTGATTAAAGAGTACTAGTGAATTTGTTCCTCTTGGGGAAGAGGTCCAGTAGTGCTAATAAACTCCTTGGCATGACAGACTCAGGCCTTTTATATTTACTACCACATCCAGAGTCATTGTCATACTCTGTAAACAATATTTGTGCTACTTTGGCCACCCATCCACAGCTGGTGTCACATTCATGATAATATTGTAATGTTAGGACTGACACATTTTTCTGTGATGTGCATTGTAAAGTTGCCCTGAGCCTTAAAATGTCTTGCTACCACACTCCAATTTATATAACAGCTTATCAAATAACAGAATCAGTAGACATGCTTCTCATACTTGAAACTTTAAACACTGTAGCTAAATGATAATTAACTTGGATTCTGGCTCCCTTTATCCACCACCCCCTCTAATGCCCAGTAGAAATATTTAGCAGCTGAACACTGATATTATGTGAAAAGATGAAGGAATCGAACTTCTTTAGTCAGATGGTAGCCAAGGCTTTTTGGCATTCAGAATAGACAAACCCATGTTTATAGACTGAGGATTGGCAGGACAGCTGTACTCTAGGGCTTCTGTGATGATGTGGTACTTTCACAGGTCTATAATAGCATTTAGTTGCCTGTTCTTTGCATGGCACTTCAAATAGTCCTTCCTGAATTTAAATACAGCTCCCTAACTTCTGTCTTCTCATTTTTTTATTGAAAGTATTACAGATTTATCCCCCCCTTTCTTCCCCTATTGACCCCCTCCTCCCTGCTCCCTCCTACCTCCTCCTGCTTTTCCCAAAATAGTGTCTGTGTTCATTGGATGTGCATATATGCATATAAGTTATTTGGTTTATCTATTCCCAAATCCCCCACCCCTCTTACCTCTGAGGTTTATCAGTCTCTCCTCACCCCCCTTACCGCTGAGGTTTGTCAGTCTGTGCTTTATTCTTTCTGTTGTTATGTTTTTGAGCAGTAGAAGCATGCATACTGGCTCTACATTTGCTGACATCAATTGCAGTCAGAGTTTTCTTAGAGTTGTGAGTGGCCATATGAGTCCATTTTGTTTGATCCTCTTGGAGAACACAGGCTCTAAGGGGACAGTATCCAAGGTGTTGGTCTCTTGACTCCTACTTCAGTGTCCATTCCCCTATATCATACTACCTCCTGAAGCCTTTTGGGGGAGAGTGGGGTGGATCTCAACAGTAGAATTTTCCCAAAGTAGATGTGTCAGATCTGCATCACTTAGTTCTACACCATCTATGTTTTGGCTAAGCTAAGTTTAACTATGTATTCTTTATTCTTCTTGAACTTCACTTTCAGGAGAATTGGAGCATGCCTTGAAGGAACTTTAGCCCAGATTCAACTTAACTTTATCTTGAGGATATTAATTTGGGGGAGAGAGAGAGAGAGAGAGAGAGAGAGAAGTTGATTGGCTATTAGAGTTGAATTGATACTGCTACATTTTGGGTAAAATTTCTAGCGCCCTGGTGCACCCTCTGCTGGCTTTGCAGGGACATTTAATTGTAGTATCTGCTGACAGTCAAGATTCTAAGTTGTGCTGACAGATTCTGGTTCATAAATAAGGAAGTAAACAGCCTTGTGGGATTTGGCCACGTAGGTCATATTTTTATATTTTAGTTTTACAACACAGACAGTTGCTGTTACAGCAACTCTTATGTGGAGAGGAAGAAATAATATAAAAATAATATACCCTTCAATGGTCAGAACATTCAGGTTTTTCACCAGTTTATCTGCAAGGAGTGAAGGCAAACTGATGGAAATAAATTGTAGGATGATCTCGTGAGACTAAATGGGCAGAACTGGTAGAAGTACTTCACTGTTATAAGGCCGTTCAAATCTATCCATGCTTATGGACTTAGTTATGACCCAAGAAAGGGATCTAGAAATCACTGAAGATGTATGTATGTCATCCCTCAATTTAAAAACTTTTAAAACAGGATATGCAAGGAAATTAGGGCAGTCAGAATACATAGAGAGATCAGCAAAGTTCTCCAAGGGAATTTTTAGAGAAAAGCTTCCCTACTGGGGACACAGCTGCTGATGATATTAGCACTTTGGACCTAGAATCATAACTCTCCTTCAGCCAGAGTAGTGGAATACCTGTAGATTTATCTGGATAGTTGAGATGATCTCAAGAGAAACGTCAGTCTCTGAATTAGACAAAATACAATATGATTGTTAGAGTAAAAATAAAATAAAAATGAAATCACTATTGATTATTCTGTAAAGTTGGCTCACTTATGATTGTGGTCCTCAAAGCCAAGAATATGGTGGGCATCATAAGGAAGGGTGTTGAAAACGATAACAAAAGAAAACCTTTATCTTTTCCATGTAAAAGACCAAAAGTGGATTTATAGTCATAGTCATATAGGAAATTCTGGTGGTTGTTCCTTAAGAAAAACCTAACAGCTGATAAAAGTCCCCAGAAACCCAATTAAATTAATCAAAAGGATAGAGGGACTTTCTAGTTGGGTTTTTTGTTTGTTTGTTTGTTTGTTTGTTTGTTTCAGTCTAGAGAGAGAAAGGTTGAGGGAGGAATATAATCAAAGTCTAAACCATGAGAGACATGACTAAAGTTAATATATTGTTGTAATTGAACAATTTAGGTCAATAAATAGAGCCTGCTATGAGCCAGACAGTGTGTTAGTTATTAGATACATTTTAATGCCTAAAATAGTATTTTGTGGAGGAGGCAAGTAAGACTAGTAGCTGATTCAAATGATTGCCCCAAGAAATAACCTAAACTGAAACTCTAAGTTTTAAAAAGTATTTAGAAAACTATGTATGGGTAGTTTAATAATGGTTTATTTGGGACTATTGGGGATATTTAGAATATGTTCCAAATTATTTGAGGTGATGTTACAGAATTCAAATTTAACTTTATAGAAAACATCTCTTGGTTTAACTAGGTAGAACATTAGTTATCCAGATTTTGACATTATTTATTAAAGTTGATTGATCAAGAAAATAACTAGGAATCATTAAATCCAAGATTTTTTTTTTTTAGGGGAGTGGTATCTAGGTAAAAATTTTCTACAGATTTAAATATAGAATTTTCAGTGTGATTTCCACGGCTTTTGACTGACTCCAGTATACATATCCCATTATTTCTCTCAATAATCCTACTCTTGCAACCCGCCCACTATATCCTGTCTTGAAGTCATTCTGTTGTATTGTTTAATAACTGTTATGTCTTTATACTAGACCTCCTCAGAAATCTGCCTTCTTTTTTTATCTTTTTCCACAATACCTGACATAGTACTTGTGATGATGTTTAGAGTACTTAAATACTTGTTGAGTTGAATATTATTTTGGGCCTTTGGAGATGTTTATTTAAAACAAAGGTATTTTCTCTTTATGTAACAGACCTATTTTCCTCAGGTCTTGCTAACCCTTTGAATTTTCAGCTATGCTTAGGTGAGTGAGTAGTTTCATTGGCAATATTTCACTGATTTCTAGACTCATTAGAAAGTGAAATGGAGAAGAGCTCTAACCATATTACCTCTAAGATGGTGCAGAAAGCTTTCTGTAATGTATCATTTGATGTTTTATTTGCTTTTAGTTCTCATCTCTCGCTTTCTGTCTTAGATCTGTGAAAAATAATATGCAATTTATCTGTAACTACCTTATAGAGAAGATCTTTTTATACTAGAGAAATTTTGAATCCGTTTACTACCCAAGAACATTACCAAAAGAAACTACTTATCATGCCTGTAGGGCGGCCCTCATAGAGAATCATCTTTAATTTTTTTTTTTTTTATTGAATTATGGAGAGAGAGGAAAGGGGGGCGGGACATTGATGTGAGAGTGAAACATGGATCAGCTGCCTCCTGAACTCCCCCTGCCAGGAATCAAACCCAGAACCTTTTAGTACATGGGACAATGTCCAACAAACTGAGCCACACCAGCCAGGTCATAGAGGACCATCTTTATTCTACCCAATAAATACTCATCACAGCTCTTCATTTGTTTTCTCTTCAAAAAACAATTTCTA